ATTTCGTTACTTAGGTTCCCCTCACATTTGACTTTGATTTGGCCAATTATTTTTAGAAACCACCTGCTTGCAAACCTGAAAACATTCACAATGACTTATATACAAACCCACACGATCTCTTCGATCATATGGAGAGGCCCTACTCATGCTCCCACCTGCATCGCAAGCGTGATTGGTGGGGACGAGAGAGAGGGCCTTCTCGGTGGTGGCCCCTCGACTCTGGAACTCACTCCCTAAGGACATCAGGCATGCCCCATCTCTGGCAGTCTTTAGGAGGAGCCTGAAAACGTGGTTGTTCCAGTGTGCCTTCCCAGAATAATGAACCCTTAGCGTTATGTCCTCCAAAAGCACTTTATACCGATTTAGGACTGCTTGTATGTCTCCATCAACGCCCCACCTCCTTTATCTTGTTCATGCCTAGCATTATTTTTTAAACTTCAATTACATTTGGCCCAACCATAGATTTTAAATGTGCACTGTACCTTGTTTAATGTTAATGCTATTTGTGTGTGAGATTTATTTTAATTGCTTTGTATTGTGTCTGTTATTGCTTGTATTGATGTATTGTGGGCTCGGCCTCATGTAAGCCGCACCGAGTCCCTTGGGGAGATGGTAGCGGGGTATAAATAAAGTATTATTATTATTATTATTATTATTATTATTATTATTATTATATCATGATAATACAAATAAATCAGGGTTGGGCAGAGTGAATTGCTGAGGATGCATGTGCCCTTCAACACTTCCAGGATGCCTACATTGATATTTTTCTGGCCAAAATGAGATCTGTTCTGCGACAGGTAAACAGGGATGGAAAAGTGTTTGGATGCATCTCCAGATGCAGACACAAAATGATTACATCGTCTACTGGGGTTTGGTCATATGTGTCTGTGAGGGCATAGGGTGCATCCACACTGAAGAATTAATGTAGTTTAATGCACTTTAACTGCCATGGCTTAGTGCTATGAAATAATGGTAGTTGTAATTTTACAAGGCCTTTAGCCTTCTCTGGGTCCACTGGTGTTGGACTGTCAACCTAGCAGTTTGAAAACATGCAAGTGTGAGTAGATCAATAGGTACCGCTCCTCCGGGAAGTAATGATGCTCAATGCCAGCCACATGATCTTGGAGGTGTCTATGGACAATGCCGGCTCTTTGGCTTAGGAATGAAGATGTGCACCATCCCACAGAGTTGGACACAACTAGACTTAATGTGAGGAGAAACTTTTACTTTTTTTAGCCTTCTCTGCCGAAGAGTGCTGTTGCTTCACCAAACTACAGCTCACAGCTTTGAGCCAAAGCAGTGCTAGCATTAATTATACAGTGTAGATATACCCGTAATCTGCATCTAGGCACATTGCAAAGTGCTGGTTTGGACCTATAAAGCCTTGAACCAGTGCTTTCCAAACTGTATATCGTGGTTCATTCATGTGTTAACTGCAGTGTGTGGGTTTGCCATAAAAACTCCTTGTGGAGCGAAAAGGCAGAGTATTAATAATAATAATAATAATAATAATAATAATAATAATAATAATCTGAATGACTGTGTCGCAAAACGATACATGTCTCAAAAGTGTGTCACCAGCATGAAATGTTTGGATCTTGACAGTGCAAACCAGCCATGGGCCAACTTGGGCCCTCCAGGTGTTTTGGACTTCAACCCCGGCTGTTAGGAATTGTGGGAGTTGAAGTCCAAAACACCTGGAGAGCCGAAGCTGGCCCATGCCTGGTTTAGACCCAGACTACCTACAAGCCATAGGTCAGAAACGTCTTGAAAGGAACACAACAACAATGCCACCTACAGCCTGTGCATACCTTCCTAACTTCAGGAATTGCAGGTAAAGGTAAAGTTTTTCCCCTGACATTAAGTCCAGTCATGTCCGACTCTGGGGGCTGGTGCTCCATTTCTAAGCCGAAGAGCCGGCGTTGTCCATAGACACCTCCAAAGTCATGTGGCCTGCATGACTGCATAGAGCACTATTACCTTCCCGTCCAAACGGTACCTATTGATCTACTCACATTTACATGTTTTTGAACTGCTAGGTTGGCAGAAGCTGGAGCTGACAGCAGGAACTCCCCCCTCCTTGGATTTGAACCTGCGACCTTTCGGGCAACAAGTTTAGCAGCTTAAGTGGCGCCACTTAAAAGCAATGTGTCATGGTGGATCCCTTGTCACTGGGATGTTGAATCCACTGGGAAGATTTTAAAGGATTCACCCAAGATAGTTAAATTATTCTGGAGTCAGACTTCAGCACCTTGGATAGCTTCTTAAAGTTTCATCCAAAGCCAGGAGAAGATTTCCACTCCCAAGCTTCTTAAAGTTTCAGCCACAACCAGGCTGACACTGGAATGCTCCGGACTGCAAGTCTCCTTGCAATTGATGGTGATCCCATGAATTTCCTAGGGTTTTCTTAGGCAAGGAATATTCAGAAGCAGTTTTGCCAGTTCCTTCCTCTGACATATATTCTACAGCACTTGGATATTCATTGCCACTCGCCCATCCAAGTACTAATCAGGGCTGACTGCGCTTAAGTTTCCAACAAGATAAGATGGGATCTTTAAGGTGTTTAAGGGAATGCCCTGCATATCCCTGGCTTGTTGTTTTTGGAAGCTGCCTTGGGTCCTGGTCTGGGAGTTAGCATATAAATAAAATAAATACTCAGACTTGCAAAATATAGCCAGAGCTTCAATTAGAGATATCTGCCACTATCTGCCACATATGATTCTTTTCGAACTAGAGTTACCAGGGATTGAGAGTGTATGCATTTCCTCAATTTGCTGCAGACTAAACTCCAATTTGAGGGACAGATTTGAAAGCCAGTCGCTCCAAAGTTGACAACCCAACACATAAATGTCAAGCAGATGCAGCTTAACAGAGGACTTTGCAACATCTTTTCCACTGAATTAATTGTAATGTAGATATTTATGTAGGTAAACATACAATTGTAATGTAGGTATTTATGTAGGTAAATGGATGGAGCGAGCATGCTCCCCTGAGGCAGGCCGTTCTTCTGTTCAGCATGTTCAACATCTACACAAATGACCGGCCACTGCCAGAAGGGACAGAGAGCTTCATCTATGCTGATGATCGTGCCATCACCGCTCAAGCAGGGAGCTTTGAGATGGCAGAACAGAAGCTCTCCGAAGCTCTAGGTGCTCTTACTGCCTATTACAGGGAAAACCAGCTGATCCCTAATCCGATCTAAAACACAGACATGTGCCTTTCACCTTAAGAACAGACAAGCATCCCGAGCTCTAAGGATCACCTGGGAAGGAATCCCACTGGAGCATTGCAGCGCACCCAAATACCTGGGAGTCACTCTGGACCGTGCTCTGACCTACAAGAAGCACTGCCTGAACATCAAGCAAAAAGTGGGTGCTAGAAACAATATCATACGAAAGCTGACTGGCACAACCTGGGGATCACAACCAGACACAGTGAAGACATCTGCCCTTGCGCTATGCTACTCTGCTGCTGAGTATGCATGCCCAGTGTGGAACACATCTCACCACACTAAAACAGTGGATGTAGCTCTTAATGAGACATGCCGCATTATCACGGGGTGTCTGCGCCCTACACCACTGGAGAAATTACACTGCTTAGCCGGTATTGCACCACCTGACATCCGCCGGGAAGTAGCAGCCAATAGTGAAAGGACCAAGGCGACATCTCCAGCTCATCCCTTGTTTGGGTATCAGCCAGCACGTCAACGACTTAAATCAAGAAATAGTTTTCTAAGATCTACAGAGACACTCGCTGGAACACCTCAGCAAGCGAGAGTCCAAAAGTGGCAGGCTCAAACCCAGAACCTCAATCAATGGCTGATACCAAATGAGAGAATCCCCCCTGGGCACACAGAAGACTGGGCGACTTGGAAGGCGCTGAACAGACTGCGCTCTGGCACCACGAGATGCAGAGCCAATCTTAAGAAATGGGGCCACAAAGTGGAGTCCATGACATACGAGTGTGGAGAGGAGCAAACCACAGACCACCTGCTGCGATGCAACCTGAGCCCTGCCACATGCACAATGGAGGACCTTCTTGCAGCAACACCAGAGGCACTCCAAGTGGCCAGATACTGGTCAAAGGACATTTAATCAACTACCAAGTTTGCAACATTTGTGTTTTTTTATCTGTTTGTTTGTTTTTGTTCTGTTAGAAATGTAATACAATATTCTGGTTGCAGATGACACGATAAATAAATAAAAATAAATAAATAAATGTAGGTAAATACATTAAGCGTTTATGTAGGTAACATCAAGTGCCTTGTTGGCTTATGACAACTCCATGAAAATCATAGGATGTTCTTAGGCAAGGAATACTTAAATGTTTTTGGCCAATTCTTTCCTCTGAAATAGAGCATACAGTGCCTGATATTCATTGGCGGTCTCCCATCCAGTTATGAACCATGGCTGACCCTGCTTAGCTTCCAAGATCAGACAGAATCTGTCGCCTTTAGGTTATTTAAGTGCTGGTGTGAACCTATCATAGCGTTTCCTGGCTGTAAGTTATCCAAAGTGAGGTTGAGAGAGTGTGACTTGGCCAATGAGCATAGATTCGAACCCTGGTCTCCAGAGCGATAATCCGAGTCCCAAAGCACAACACCTCCTTGGCCCACTTACTGAAAAATTGAGCAATAATAAAAAATCTCCTCTCCTTCCATCATATTTCCTCTTGATCACATTTTCCATGACTCTCACTTTGATCATTAACTAAGTTTGGAAACTCCAAGTTTTTGTCCAAGAAGTACTTTTCCATGAATCGGAGGAGGGAGGTGGTAAAGAGACACAAAAACAGGACATATAAACCAGGCATGGGCCAACTTGGGCCCTCCAGGTGTTTTGGACTTCAACTCCCACAATTCCTAACAGCCTACCGGCTGTTAGGAATTGTGGGAGTTGAAATCCAAAACACCTGGAAGGCCCAAGTTGGCCCATGCCTGGTCTATATGTTCTGTTCAGGCAAGAAGAGGCTAGAAGGGGAAAAAGATCAGGAATTACCTTTCCGACAAATGGAACCAGATGATGCTCACACATGGAGAACATGTCTATGTCCTTCACAATCACCATCTCGTCGTGGTCTTCATCAAATATGGCATCGTTGAGTACATCTGAAATTAAGGAAACCACTTCAATAGCAGCATAAAACCTGTGTAATATGTTCCCAGTTTGTTTTGGGATACTAAATTCAAGAATGTATACATCACCAACAGACTGGATCTCAGAGTGATATGTGATTTTTTTAAAATTGCCATCGACTAAATAAGAATGGAGATAGATAGATAGATAGATAGATAGATAGATAGATAGATAGATAGATAGATAGATAGATAGATAGACAGACAGACAGATAGATATGAGGGGGGGGAAATCTGTTCTTTGATGGAACAGTTGATGGAGTTGTTGATGGAGTTCAGAATGCTCTTTGATTGTAGGTGAACTATAAATCCCAGTGGTTTTATTCTTCTTGTTCTTCTCTAATTTTGTGGTCCTTACTTTGAAAGTAGGAAAATGTGCTATAGCAGGATGTCCCTCCCATAAAAACAAAGTTTTATACAGTTTAATCAATGTTTTCCATGCTGAACAAAAGGTTGGCAGTTCAAATACGGGGAGAAGGGTGAGCTCCCATTGTTAGCCTTAGCTTCTGCCAATCTATCAGTTTGAAAACATGCAAATGTGAGTAGATCAATAGGTACCGCTTCTGTGGGAGGGTAATGGAGCTCCATGCAGTCATGCTGGCCACATGACCTTGGAGGTGTCTACAGACAATGCTGGCTCTTTGGGTTAGAAATTTAGATGAGCACCAACCCCCCAGAGTCAGAAACAAGTAGACTTAATGTCAGGGGAAATCTTTACCTTTACCATTACACATATATGTGTGTGTTTGTGTGTGTGTATGCACTGGGATGGTGGCACAGCTGGCTGAGTGTCAGCTGCATTAAGATCACTCTGACCAAAAGGTCATGAGTTCGAAGCCAGCCCAGGTTGGAGTGGGTTTCCAACCAATTGTGTAACCTGTTGTCGACCTTTGCAACCCGAAAGACAGTTGCATCTGTCAAGTAGGAAAATTAGGTACCCAAATTAGGTCATAAAGAAGACTCCAGCAAAGCATTCCAGCGGGGAAGCATGCGGGGAATGCGGAAGTGCTTCATCAGTGTCGTAGATTGACGATGAAAGCGACAGCTCCCCTGGTGGCCAGAAAAAAATTAAATAGCCTTTGTGTATGTCTGTATATGTTTGTATGTCAAAAATTGGCATTGAATGTTTGCCATATATGTGTACACTTTAATCCGCCTTGAGAACAAACCTACAGGACCTATCTTGTTCATAATTTGGGGACTGTCTATACCAGGCCTGGGCAAACTTGGGCCCTCCAAGTGTTTTGGACTCCAATTCCCACCATTCCTAACAGCCTCAGGCCCCTTCCTTTTCCCCCTCAGCCGCTTAAGCGGCTGAGGGGGAAAAGGAAGGGGCCTGAGGCTGGTAGGGATGGTGGGAGTTGAAGTCCAAAACATGTAGAATGTCCAAGTTTGCCTATGCCTGCTATAATAAGTCTATCTGATTCAGGTTATCAAAAGCATCCTTGCCATCTCCAAGTGACTAAAAAGTCAATATGTATATAAATCCAAGAGCTGTGCCAGCCGTCTTGTCTTTTATAGCTTCCTCTGACACACACAGAGAGCTGCATCCATTCTTACAAAAACCAGGCTTGAAGATATATATATATATATATATATATATTCCTATGAGCTGCTCGTTGGAGCTGGTAGCGATATGTTATCAATCAAGGATTTAATTTCCTGTACTCAGACCGACTGACGCAGGTAGCCCTGGCGACCGGGACTGGAAGAACTTTGCTTGTTTGGATGTGTTTCATCCACGGAAAGGGTCTCAAAAAAAGAGTGAAGCAGGCATGGAAAGGATGAGCTGTTCCGCTCCGGGTTTTAGTCTGAACTTTAAATGAGTCCCTGGAAGTGTTGGTCCCTTTCCCTCTCCCACATACAATTCACATCATACGTAGGTCCCTTCTATGCTGCTATATAAAATCCAGATTATATTTTTTGAACTAGATGATATGGCAGTGAAGACTCACATAGTCCAGTTCAAAGCGGATAATGTGGATTATCTGATTTGATAATCTGCATTATATGGCAGTGTAGAAAGGGCCATAGCTGACCCTTCACATTCGCAGTTTCTCACTCTGGCGGATTTGAATATTGACGGATTTGATCTCAATGTTTGAAACAAACAAACTGAAATACAATGATAAAACAAATTAAAAAGCCATTTAAAACCATTCAATAGCCCATAGTCCAACTCAAAGCCCATTGGCTGAATTTGGCCTGCTGTGTCATTTTTGTGTCCTTCCAGATGCTGGACTACAACTCCCATATTCCTCATCATTAGCCTTCATGACTACAGCAGATGGTAGCTGTGATACAATCATATCTGAAAGGCTGCAGTTTGTTCAGTTTAGTCAGGAGAGTAAGGTTTGGATTACGACACAAGACTTTTGGATATGATGCCTGACTTTAACATGTCCTTAAACCAGAGTTTCTCAACCTGGGGGTTGGAAACCCTGGGGGGGGGTCATATAACTGCATTATATGAGTTTGAAACTATATGATATGGTCAGTGTAGATGGCTGCAGCCTTAACCAAAACTCTTACTGAACCCAGCAGGGCGTAAATGCACAAAGCTTGGCCTGGATTCATGGCACCACCTTATAGAAAGTTTGGGAGCAATAAAGTCTTTTTCGATGCGTAATTCAGAAGGTGAGGGCTTTTTATGCAGGGCGAAAAGTAATAACTGTTGTCGGCCTTTGAGACAAAGCAGTCGGGAGCATCACGGGCCGCGGAAAGAGCCAAATCGCAGCCAACGGAAGTGGCACTGAATGGAAACGAGGTGCAAGAAAAAGGAAGAGATTAAAATCCCCAAATATGAAAGAGAAGGAGAGGCAGACACGAAAGAGAAGGAGAGGCAGACACCGGTGATCCTGCGTCAGAGGTAAGGGATCTCGTTGCCAAGGAAACTATTTGCATAGCTTTAATGTTGCCCCGGCAACCTCTGACAAGTGTAAATCATCTTCTTGACAGATGGATTGATAGGCAGGTCAGAAGGCAACCTGTGGAAGGCCTTTGCAATGGAGAACTTCCATCCACCAATAAGTGGAGCCATGGAAAATTGGTTGTGGGTGCATCTGCACTACAGAATTAATGTAGTTTGATTGCAAAGCCTCAAGGCTTTGCAATCAGGGAGTTATAGTTTTGCAAAGCCTCTGACAAGGTGCTAGTGCCTCTCCAAACTATAGCTGCCAGGATTCGGTAGCATTGAGCCATAAAGAAGTGTCCAACTGCATTAATCGATGTTTTGTCTTATATCGATCAGGCTGTACTTTTTATTTAATTTTAGTTTGTTAAGTTATAATTTGTATTTATATGTTGGGTTGTATAAATTTTGTTATTATGGATGTGTTGTTGTTTTTTTCGGGAATTGAATGTTTGCCTTTTATGTTTGAAATCCGCCCTTTGGGGAGATAGAGCGAAATAAAAATAAATTATTATTATTATTATTATTATTATTATTATTATTATTATTTCAATATTCAGTTCACTGCTGATGTTTTAGCATCTGAAAGTTATTTAGTGACCTCCTCAAAATCTCTAACCATATTGATTAAGTTTGGCTAGGGCATTTTGGAAAGTGCAATCCAAAAAAAAAAAAAACTTTTCCAGATACTGTTGAAGCTGAAACTTTAACCATAGGAGCCGCAAAATCTCCAAGCATCTTGACTATGTTTGGCTGGGACATTTTGGAAAGTGCAATCCCAAAAAAGTAACTTTTCCAGATACTGTTGAAGCTGAAACTTTAACCATAAGAGCCCCAAAATCTCCAAGTATCTTGACTATGTTTGGCTGGGGCATTTTGGAAAGTGCAATCCCAAAAAAGTAACTTTTCCAGATACTGTTGAAGCTGAAACTTTAACCATAAGAGCCCCAAAATCTCCAAGGATCTTGACTATGTTTGGCTGGGGCATTTTGGAAAGTGCAATCCCAAAAAAGTAACTTTTCCAGATACTGTTGAAGCTGAAACTTTAACCATAGGAGCCTCAAAATCTCCAAGTATCTTGACTATGTTTGGCTGGGGCATTTTGGAAAGTGCAATCCCAAAAACGTAACTTTTCCAGATACTGTTGAAGCTGAAACTTTAACCATAGGAGCCCCAAAATCTCCAAGGATCTTGACTATGTTTGGCTGGGGCATTTTGGAAAGTGCAATCCCAAAAAAGTAACTTTTCCATATACTGTTGAAGCTGAAACTTTAACCATAGGAGCCTCAAAATCTCCAAGTATCTTGACTATGTTTGGCTGGGGCATTTTGGAAAGTGCAATCCCAAAAACGTAACTTTTCCAGATACTGTTGAAGCTGAAACTTTAACCATAGGAGCCCCAAAATCTCCAAGGATCTTGACTATGTTTGGCTGGGGCATTTTGGAAAGTGCAATCCCAAAAAAGTAACTTTTCCATATACTGTTGAAGCTGAAACTTTAACCATAAGAGCCCCAAAATCTCCAAGTATCTTGACTATGTTTGGCTGGGGCATTTTGGAAAGTGCAATCCCAAAAAAGTAACTTTTCCATATACTGTTGAAGCTGAAACTTTAACCATAGGAGCCTCAAAATCTCCAAGTATCTTGACTATGTTTGGCTGGGGCATTTTGGAAAGTGCAATCCCAAAAAAGTAACTTTTCCAGATACTGTTGAAGCTGAAACTTTAACCATAGGAGCCTCAAAATCTCCAAGTATCTTGACTATGTTTGGCTGGGGCATTTTGGAAAGTGCAATCCCAAAAAAGTAACTTTTCCATATACTGTTGAAGCTGAAACTTTAACCATAAGAGCCCCAAAATCTCCAAGTATCTTGACTATGTTTGGCTGGGGCATTTTGGAAAGTGCAATCCCAAAAAAGTAACTTTTCCAGATACTGTTGAAGCTGAAACTTTAACCATAGGAGCCCCAAAATCTCCAAGGATCTTGACTATGTTTGGCTGGGGCATTTTGGAAAGTGCAATCCCAAAAAAGTAACTTTTCCATATACTGTTGAAGCTGAAACT